AAAATACTTACAAACTCTGCGATGTTCTCAATTGTTCCTCTATGATCGTTGCCCATTGTGAGTAGAGATATTGTGGGTTAAGTTTGATGAGTGAAGTTTACTGAGTGATGAGAAGCATTTGTTGAACATTTGAGGAGTAGAGTTTCTATTATTATGAGAAGAGTTTGTTCCTTGATGAACATGTATTTATAATGGTTAAATGTGATGAGAGGAGTCACATGAAAATGCATGCTGAAACATGATGGCAATGGTGCAGGGAAGCGTGCAAGTGTAGTGTTGCATTGTCATGCATGCAGAGTGTTGTGTTAAAAGTGTAGTTATGATAGTGTAAGCCTGCTATTAATGCATGCTAAAACATAATGACAATGGTGCAGGGAAGCGTGCAAGTGTAGTCTTGTCATGCACGTGAAGCAATTGCATGAGTATAGTGTTGTCGTGCATGCAGAGTATTATGTTAAAAGTGTAGTTTTGCTTCAGTGTAGTGTTGTCATGTATGCAGAGTATAGTGTAGTCTTAAAAGTGTAGTTATGATAGTGTAGGCCTGCTAGGGTAATAGCGTAGGCATGTGAATACTACCACTACTAATGCATGCTTAAACATGATCATTATGGTGCAGGGAAGCGTGCAAGTGTAGTCTTGTCATGCATGTGAAAAATTTCATGTGAAGTCATTGCATGTGAAATATAATTTTTACTAGAGTGTAGTGTTGTCAAGCATGCAAAGTAAAATGTAGTCTTAAAACTGAGGTCATTGCTTGTAAAATATAATTCCTGCTAGGGTATTAATGCATGATGAATTTTTATGACAATGGTGAAGGGAAACATGTATGTGTAGTCTTGTCTTACAAGATTCTTGGTTATTGTTATGCAGAGAATCTTACAGTCATTGATTGATAGAGTGTAGTCTTGTATTGCATGTTTAATATGATTTTGGCTAGAGTGTGGTGGTGTCATGCATGCAGAGTATAATGTAGTCTTAAAGATATGATCACATATTACAGATTCTTGTGTTATATTTTGTAAATAACTATCAAATATATGATCACATATTTATCTATTCATTTAATTTTATAACTTATTAGTGTAGGCATGTGTACTACAATATCCTGCAAGACTAATAATGTAGGCATGTGTACTATAATATCCTGCAAGACTAATAGTGTAGGCATGCAGAGTGTAGTCTTGTCATGCAGAGAATCTTGTAGGCATGCAGAGTGTGGGCATGCAGAATGTATTCTTGTCGTGTAGAGAATCCTGTAGTAAGAAAGCGTGTAAAACCATATCCTGCAATACTAATAAGTGACAATTACTAAAATAATAAAATCAGGACAAGACATGTGATGAGATTTGCATGGAATACGAAGTACAATGATAATTAATAAAAAACAACACTAGTACCCAATTATATTGCTATTAATACAATAGAGATGGTTGTTTTATTAACATATCATTTAGTAACAAATCCCTCCAAACACAAAAATTTGTAAAACAATCCTTTCAAACACGAGTTTAGTAATATATTTGTTATGGCTCAAACACCACAATACATGATCAGTGCACATTTAAACAGTGAGGTTTTTGAATGCAACTCAACCGATTTTAATTTTCGAAATATGGACGTTACTAGATTTTTGATTGACAGAAGATCAAATTTTTTATATTTGAAAGCGAGATTAGAAAAGAAATTACAGTGTGGTCTAGTTGGCCAAATAATCTACAAGAATCCTGTGTTTTTTGGCGGGCACGAGAAATGCAAAATTTTCCAATTAAAGATTCGAGACGATGAAGATGTGCATAACATGTTTCTCAGTCATGAGTATTCTGGTTTCTCAGATATTGAGCTATATATTACGTTACAGCAACAACTGTGTCAACAACTTGATTTTTCTCAAGTTTTTTATGAATCTGATGGCGAACAAGCTGAAGTCGATGCCATTGACGAAGAAGAAGAAGCAGCTGAAGTCATTGTTGATGACATGGTAAACAACGAGGAAGACGTAGTACCAACCAGTCATATTTATTACCAACCTCAACACATGATAAGTCTCAACTTAGGTGACGATGAACTGTCAACAGATATTTTTTATAATCCATACTTGCCAATAGAAGGATTGTTAAAAGAGGGAGACAACTTTCGTACAAAAGAACATTGTGTCCGAGCAATAAAACAATATCACATGGACTTATCAGCAAATTATAGTGTCGATCGAACAAATTCAACTATGTATAAGATCTATTTCCGTAATGAGATGTGTCCGTTTCTATTAACAGCGTCTTTCCGAAAGAGAAGTGATTCATGGAAGATAGGGTCAGTGGGTCCAGAGCACACTTGTACAATCACGAATCCAATGCAGGACCATCACAAGCTCAACTCTCAATTGATTTGTGATGAAATTTTGTCGCTCATAAGAGACAACCCTTCTTTGAAAGTGGGTACCATAATTTTGCATATGTTTCAAAGATATAATTACACTCCTTCGTACAGGAAAGCATGGATAACTAGGACTAAGGCGGTTGAAATGATGTTCGGAATTTGGAAGGAGTCTTATGTTTCTCCCCAGCCTAACTTATGTTTGATCTCTGATAGACATTCATCAATCGAGAGTGCATACAAGAATCTTGATAACGGTTGGCAGGATCCTTCCACAAACCATGTGTATTGCATAAGACGCATCGCCCAAAATTTCATGTGGGAAATCAAAGACAAAATGCTCAGGAAGAAGGTTGTGTACGCATGGTATGCACTAACAGAGCCCACATTCAAACACTACCGTGACGAGATCAGACTGACAAACGCAGATGCATTCGGATGGATTGATAATATTCATAAAGAGAAATAGACAAGGGCATACGACAATGGGGTGTGATAGGGCCACATGACAACTAACCTCATTGAGTCAATAAATTATGTTTTCAAGGGAATCTGAAACCTACAGATAAATGCCTTGGTAAAGGAAACATATTTTAGGCTTGGGGCACTCTTTGATAACAGACGTACAAAGTGGGGTTTAGTATTACAATCTGGGCAGCTGTACAGTAATAGTTCAATGAAAATCATGAAAGACGAAGCTGCCAAAGCCAACACACATGTGGTCACCATCTTTGACCGTAATAAAGGTTGGTTCAGTTTGTAAAGTCAATTGATCACAGTGAAGGGAGGCCTAGGGGATGTTACTGAGTGGAACTGGATAGGAGTTGGTGTGACTGTGAAAAGTTTCAAGCAGTTCGTATGCCTTGCTCCTATGTTATAGCAACATGCTCGAAGGCTCGCCAGGACCCAACCAACTATCTTTTTGTTGTTCATCAAATCATAACTCTATGCAATGTCTATGGCAGTAGCTTTCAGGTGGTGGAAAATGAGGACTATTGGCCTCCATACGAAGGCGAAATTGTCTGGCATAATGATTTGATGCGAAGAAAGAAAAAGGGTCACCCTAATAGCACGCGTATTCAAACGGAGATGGATACAACAAACAAAATGGTCAGATTATGTAGTTCGTGCCGGCAACCAGGACACAATCGTACAAAATATCCCAATGTAGGACCAAGCACAGGATCATAGTTTCTAATGTAATCGTGTATCTTTAAATCAACAACAAATTTCATTTCATTGATAGCATATCTAAGCGATTATAATTAACAGCAACATAAATTAAACAAACATAACTTAACATCAAAATAAAAATCCGAAAATAACAACAACATAACTTAATATCAAAATAACAATTCAAAAATAACAACAACAAACCCACATAAAACAACTCAATGCATCAACTTGTCTAGGATATTACAACCATCAAGGTAATCTTCTTTGGTGTTAACATCATCATAAGGACACCAACATCATTTTTCACTTTTATCCAATCACGAGTAACTCCGTTTCTCCCTGACTCCTCAACTAGCCTTTCAAATTTCTTGATCTTTTCACCTACAGCAATATCTCCTTCTAGCCAGCGGTTCAGTTCCCTATGCAAATGCTCCAAAGTCTGCGTGTTCCACAGTAGAACGTTCATCGGAGGCTTTATTGCTGAAAAATAAACTATGGCATTTCTTTTCATTAGAGGAAATGTTGGAAACGGTTCCTCTGATGATGATGAAGACGATGATGAACGTTGATTTAGAAATGCAGACATTCTGGACTGTCCCCATATGATATGGCGTAATTACCCTTAAAAACACATGATAAAAAACACAAAACAAATTATTTTTAAAAAAAAGGCATTGTACTGAGGCGTCATACCATATGGTGCCTCCTCTGGAAATTAGGTTTAGGACAAAAGGGTGGCGTCATACCATATGGCGACTTGGTTTTAGGGCATAAGGGAGGCGTCATATGGGATGACGACTTGGTCTTTCCCTTCATCCATCCGTCATTTCATATGGCGCCTCAATGTTGAATTATGTCGACTTTGAGAATTTTTTTGAATTCCCTGTTAAAATGATATTTTTTTTTGAAAAAAATAGATATTTAAAGAAAAATTCTATTATATATATATATATATATATATATATATATATATATATATATATATATATATATATATATATATATATATATATATATATATATATATATATATATATATATATATATATATATATATATATATATATATATATATATATATATATATATATATATATATATATATATATATATATATATATATATATATATATATATATATATATATATATATATATATATATATATATATATATATATATATATATATATATATATATATATATATATATATATATATATATATATATATATATATATATATATATATATATATATATATATATATATATATCATTAAAAATATATAAAATATCAATAATACCCATTATATTATTTTCCATGAAACTACTTCTCCATTAAAAAAAGTCATTCTAATACAAGTTATTTCATATGCATCCTGCAAATTGACCCAAGTTTATTTTCCACATCACATAAGAAAATTAAGTTGTATAATTAAGCAATAACATGAAAACTTATATGATTTTCTTTTTCTCAAAAAAGGTCTTCAAGTGCCATAGTTGTAATCCTGCTACGGATAAACATACAAATAATGAATAGAAATTCAACAAGAATATTCGATTATCAGTTATCCAATTGAGTTCAGTCATTTCTGTATTTCTGAAAAAGAAGAAAAAAAATTAAAATAAGAATCATATATAAAACAATTGAATTAAAAATACACAAATAAATATACATTCATACCGTTCAAGAAGATAAGACATCTCTTCTTTAATGGCCAAGGCAGTTTCTTGCATCTTTTGTACCTCAAATGCCAGCCACTGTGAGATGTTAGAGAGATTCAAAAGTACTAAGGATTTTTTACTGTAAAAATATTTGAGAAACTTACATCAACATCACTTTTCTTTGCAATATTCTTGTGGTGACCCTTTGCTGCTGCAACTCCAGTTTTCCACTCAAAATCAACAGAGAATGTTACTTGGCGATCATCACTTGTATCCATAAAACATATTGCATACTGACCAACTTGATATGCAGTAAATGCAAACTGTCCAGCTTGAACACGCTCTGCAACATGATACGGGACAACGCCTTGAGGCGGATAAACCTAAACAACATAAATTTTTTAAAACATGTATAATATAATCTAATAATTGAATTGATCGAGATACAAAATGGTGTGAATCAATAATTCAATTTACCTGAACTGTCATAATGTGGTTTGGTGGTAATGGTTGATCCTGGTTGGAATTTACGATTGAGTAGTTACCGAGTACCATTGAATTGATCTTTGTTATCTCTTCGGAGAAGCATCTTCCTGCTTTATCATGTGGTAGATCAAATCTCATGGCTTGAACTGAATATGAAAACACTGCAATAGATACAAGAAGAAGAAAAAGTGAATAGGAATGTTGTTTGTTTAATACAAACATATTCATGGTTGGTGTTGAAATGAGAAGAAAGTGAAAATCAAATCTATAAATATAAATAACCCTTTGCTAATTGGTCTTTGAATATGAAAATATTATTTTATTTTTAATCATAATTTAGTAATTATTATATACAAATTAACATATTGGTTACAGTATAATTATTTTTAATATTTGAGAAAACCGAAAAGCAGCACCTATAAATAGAGATGGTTAGTATTATAATAAAAGTAATAATTAAAAAGAAGCATATATAGACTTGGTCTTATAAAAAGTAATAAAGAGATTCTTTAAACTTCAATAAAATAAATATATATTTTGACTAATATAAAAGTAATTTGGTATTCATTCTTTATTGATATTTCTTTTCTATATTTGCATGCAATAGTACTTATAAGTTAATTCTTTTGATAAAAGTTCTTTTGAATTTATATCAATTAATAGATAGAATTTTTATTGAAAATTTTTACTTTTTATTTTTTATTTTATAATTTTGTTATAATTTTTAAAATAACCTATATTTTGTTAAACTTTATCTTTGAAATAATATGCATTGACCATGTGAATATTTTTAAAATACGCATAATCATATTTTATAAACGAGGACAACGGACAAGGAAGGGTGGATGAAAGTGCAACGGAGTGAAATAGGGGAGGCTGAGACAAATTATCGGTATGGACAGCGAAAAGAGGAAAAAAAAACTCTGGGGATGATGGCCCCTTGGTGTCATTCTTCTTCGCGGAATTTTCAAAAGAATTTGATATAAAGAACTGCTTCGATTTATTTAAGGAGTATGGATTGGTTGTGTGACTTTTCATTTCGGCAAGGCAAGATAAACATGGAGGACGTTATGAATTTGTTTGATTTAGGAAGGTGGATAATGTAACATCTCAAATTCTTGAAATATTTATTTAATTTATTTAAATATGAATATTCATATTTTTGGTGATTTTCAGTGGTTGATATGAAATATTAAGAATTATGAATTTTGAGTTATTTATTTAAATAATAGTATATAATATGAATATATTGGTATTATTATTAATTTAAATAAATATAAGTGAATTAAGGGCAAATTGGACATTTGAGGAGGAGTTAGTGAGGGTGAAGTTGGAAAGCCCAATTTTAAGGCTCAAAGTTAGATTTAACAAAAAGGAATTTTGAGGGAATTAGGATTCATTCTTATTAGACCGTGAAAAGAGAAGAAATAGAGGTCAGAGTTCCGAGGAAGAGGATTGAGGCAAAAACTTTGAAAGGTTTCCAAGAATCAAATAGAAAGGCTTAGAGTCGGCAATTAAGGTATGAGAAGTATTGCTTTCATTGTTTTCAATATGTGATTCAATGTGTTTAAAACTGATTTAAGGATTTTTGAATATTGATCTGTTGTTGCCTTCTGATGGTGAGTTCAATGAGTTTGAGGGATTTGAACTGATGGTCTGATAGGTTTGAGGCTGATTTGGGAGTAAAGAAAATTAGGCCTTCGTGGCCAAAATCTGTTGTTGAGATTGTTTAACCCTGTAGGGTAAGTGACTTGTGAGACCTTTAATGACTGTGGTGTAGTTTTAAGGATTTATGGAAATTGGAGGCGTAAATATGATACGGGATTGGCCTAATAAGTCGTAGATTTTGTGCCTTTATCGCCGTAATACCTTATGAATGATTTGGGGATGTTTTAGGGCATTAGGGAAGGAAATCGTAGAGGTTTTTGATTTGGATTTGGTGCTGGTGTGTAACAGCGATTTGCTGTAATCGCGAGTTCGCACAACGAAGAATGTTTCGCACGACGAACATTCGCCCCAGACTCGCACTGCGAACTTGCTAGTGAATGTAACAAAGTTTCGCGAATTGTGTTCTGGTTCAATGTTGTTTTGATGTTGTGATTTTCCTGATGGATTACCATGAGTATGACTGTGATTCCTATGAGATTAATACATGATTGTATGATGAATTCCCATGAGTAATTGTGATGATTTATGATGTTGATTCCATGAGCTTTTGATGATTATGCGATGACATGATTATTATGATAATTTTAATGAATGATGATGCACCTGATGAGTTTATTATAAGGATTGATGTTGAAGTGTGCATCATGCATTCATATGCATCCGAACTTTGGTCTAGGACCTTGATTCTTGTGGCTTCAGTCCCATTGTGTGGATGTGAGGTATTTTGTTGTGCTCCGATTCTTGTGTAGTATCGATCCTACTTTTATGGATCTATAGAGGGTTGGTGGCTCAGTGTCCATCAAACTTTGTTGATTGGTACCACATGCATGAGTCTTGTTGCATTTGCATTTATGTGATATTTTGGTGTATTTTATAATGTTGTGGCCTTTGATGTTCCTTGATGATTCTAATGATGATAGATATGAAAATGACGCCATTTTATATATTGATTCTTATATTGATTATTATGAATCGTTTTATTCACCCTGCTTGTTTGAATGTTGCCTCCACGTGGGTAACGCGCAGGTGACCATGTTTAGTCGTGAATGTCGTCGAGGACTTTTTGAAGTTTTGGGTCGTTGGCCATTGTGGTTGACTTAGAGGGTCTTGCTCTGATAGTGTAACATCGGGTTGGGGCCTTTGATTCAAACTATATTTTATTGAGTTTTTGATATGTTGATTTCCTTGCGGTACAAGGAAAACTTTGGATTTGCCTTTTTGAGTTCCGCTGCCATTTGAGCACTTTGAGTAATTTTGAGAAAACCCGTTGCTTACAGAGCATTGACCTATGTTTGAATTTATTGAGAAATGTGTGCCCTTTTATGATGATTTTATTGCGTTCAATATTTTACTCTGATAAATTCTATTATTTTGCCATGATATTTGTGGGGTAGAAAATGGTGTTACATTAGTGGTATCATAGCAGATCGGTCCGTCCGACCAAGTTTTACATTGTTAATCCCCGGTCAGTCAATAGCGTGAGAACACTATTGGATGAGTTGTTTTCTTCTGACCCTATTGATGGTTGCAGATGGCTGGAAGAAATGATTGTGTTATTGTTGATGCGCTGGAATCGCTTGCCCAAGTGATGGCCCAGAATGGTGGACCTCCATATGAGTTTCGTGTTTTGGGGAAGTTCTAGAGGAACAATCTGCCGACTTTTGCGGGCACTCATGATCCTGATGGTGCGCAGAAGTGGCTGAAAGTGATTGAGAAGATTTTCCGGGTTATGGCGTGCACTGATGCTCAACAGGTGCAGTTTGGTACGCATATGCTAGCAGAGGAAGCTGAGGACTGGTGGGATAACACTCGTCAGAGATTGGGGGGTGTTGGCATTGCAATAATTTGGACTGTGTTTAAGGAAGAATTTTTGAGGAAGTATTTTCCTTAAGATGTTCGGGGCAAGAAAGAGGTGGAATTCCTTGAGCTGAAGCAAGGGAATATGATTGTGCCTGAGTATGCGGCAAAGTTTGAAGCTTTAGTGAAGTTTTGTCTGCATTCAATCGTACTAACGCAGAGATGTCGAAGTGTCTCAAGTTCGATAATGAATTGAGACCAAAGATTAAGTAGAGAGTTGAGTACCAGCAGATTCGTCGGTTTGCAGAACTAGTGGACAAGAGTAGAATTTATGATGAGGATAGCCGAGCTCAATCTACTCACTACAAGCAGCTGAGTGAGAAGAAAGAAAATGACAGTATAGAGGGAAACCGTATGTGACTTCTGGTGATAAAGGGAAGCAGAAGGCTTCAGATGGAAAAACGTCAAGTGCGGGAGCGGCTACTGCTCCAAGCAAGTGTCATAAGTGTGGCGAGCAAGGTCACCGTGTTGAGGTTTGTAAAATGCCGAGATGTCATTGTTGTAGCAAGAAGGTTATAGAGTTACTGACTGCAAAGATGAAGCTCCGACTTACTTCAACTGTGGAGAGAAAGGTCATATCAGTACCTAGTGCCAGCAGCCGAAGAAGACTGCTACTGCTGCTCAGACGAACGGCAGAGTGTTTGCTTTGAGCGGTGCAGAAGAACCCAAGACAGATAACTTGATCAGAGGTACTTGCTTTATTTATGATGTTGAATTGATTGTTAAGATTGATACTGGTGCTACCCATTCGTTGATTTCGCTTGAATGTGCTGCAAGGTTGAATCTGAAATTATCTTCTATGGTTGGGAGTATGGTTATCGATACCCCGACTAATGGTTATGTGACTACTGCTTTAGTCTGTTTGAGCTGCCCTTTGACTATTTATGATAAGAATTTTGTGATGGACTTGGTCTGTCTACCTTTGCATCGAATTGATGTTATTCTTGGAATGAACTGATTGGAGTTCAACTATGCTCATATCGATTTCTACAGCAAGACTGTGAGGTTCCCAGGGTTTGGTGATTACGGAGAGCTGATGTTTGTATCTACTAAGCAAGTAGAAGAACTCTTAGAAGACGAGGCTCATATGTTTGCATTGTTTGCATCACTTTAAGTTGATTATGAAGCAGTGAGCGTGGAGCTACCAGTTGTTCGGGAATTTCCAGAAGTGTTCCCAGACGACGTGAGTGACTTACCTTCTGAGCGCAAGGTAGAATTTACTGTTGATGTGATACTGGGCATTAGTCCTGTGTCGATGGCTCCTTATCGGATATCTACATCTGAGTTAGGAGAATTGAAGAAACAGTTGGAAGAGCTGTTTGAGAAGAAGTTTATTCGACCGAGTGTTTCTCCGTGGGGTGCTCATGTGTTGTTGGTGAGGAAGAAAGATGGTAGCATGAGATTGTGTGTGGATTATCGACAGTTGAATAAAGTGACGATCAAGAATAACTATCCACTTCCGAGGATTTATGATCTCATGGATCAATTGGTGGCCGCTTGTATGTTTAGTAAGATTGATTTGAGGTTTGGTTATCATCAGATTCACGTTAAGCTTGAGGGTATTCCGAAGACAACATACAGGACAAGGTATGGTCATTACGAATATACAGTGATGTCGTTTGTTATATCTAATGCACCTGGTGTATTCATGGAGTATATGAATATGATTTTTCATCCTTATTTGGATCAATTTATGGTAGTATTCATCAACGAATCTTGATATATTCGAAGTCTAAGGAAGAGCATGTGCAACATCTAAGAGTTGTATTGCAGGTTTTGAGGGACAAGAAGCTTTATGCCAAGTTGTCCAAATGTGAGTTTTGGTTGAAGGAAGTGAGTTTCCTTGGCCATGTGATTTCTAGTGGAGGAATTGTTGTTGATCCGTCAAAAGTTGATGTTGTGTTGCAGTGGGACACTCTGAAGTCTGCTACTGAGATTCCAAGTTTCCTTGGCTTAGCTGGTTATTATCGTAGGTTTATAGAAGGCTTTGCAAAGTTGGAACTACCATTGACTCGGTTGACTCGGAAGGGTCAAGCTTATGTGTGGGAAGTTGCATGTGAGAAGAGTTTTGTAGAACTCAAGAAGAAGTTGACGACTGCTCCAATGTTGATCTTGCCAAATACGAGGGAGTCTTTTATAGTGTATTGTGATGCATCAAAGATGGGTCTTGGTGGCGTACTGATGCAGAATGGTCAGGTCGTTGCCTATGCTTCCAGACAACTGAAGGTTCATGAAAGGAATTATCCTACGCATGACTTAGAGTTGGTCGCGGTGGTGTTTGTGTTGAAAGTTTGGAGACATTATCTTTTTGGGTCCAGGTTCGAAGTGTTCAGTGATTACAAGAGCCTGAAGTATTTGTTTGATCATAAAGAGTTGAATATGAGGCAGAGGAGATGGCTTGAAATTCTGAAGGATTATGATTTTGAATTGAGTTACCACCCTGGTAAAGCTAATGTTGTAGCTGATGCATTAAGTAGGAAGTTCTTACATATGTCGATGCTTATGGTTTGAGAGTTAGGACTGATTGAACAATTTAGAGATATGAGTCTAGTGTGTGAAGAAACTCTTAACAGTGTGAGGTCGGGTATGCTAAAGTTAACTAGTGGTATCCTCCAAGAAATCAGAGAAGGTAAAAAATCTTATTTGAGTTTAGTGGATCGTCTCACATTAATCAACAAAGGTAACAAGGGTGATTTTCGGGTTGATGAGAATGATATGCTGAGGTTCAGAGATAGAGTGTGTATTTCAGATGTGCCATAAATTAAGAGTATTCTTGAGGAAGGTCACAGAAGTAGATTAAGTATTCATCCGGGTGCCACAAATATGTATCAAGACTTGAAAAAATTGTTTTGGTGGCCAGGGATGAAGAAGGAAGTGGTTGAGTTTGTGTATGCTTGTTTGACTTGTCAGAATTCGAAGATTGAACATCAAAGACCGTTGGGTCTGATGAAACCATTGAATATTCTAGAGTGGAAATGGGATAGCATTTCTATGGATTTTGTGATAGGTCTACCAATACCGAAGACTTTGAAGGGATATGATTCAATTTGGGTGATTGTTGATAGATTGACCAAAATTGGCTCATTTTATACCGATGATGATCAATTATTTGTTACAGAAGCTGGTCGAATTGTATATTGATGAGATTGTGAAACTGCATGGTATTCCTTCAAGTATTGTGTCTGATAGAGATCTGAGATTCACATTGAGGTTCTGGGAGAGTTTGCATACAGATTTGGGTACTAAGTTGAGGTTGAATTCTGCCTATCATCCGCAGACGGATGGAAAGACAGAGAGAACTATCCTGTCTTTAGAGGATTTGTTGAGAGCTTGTGTGTTGGATCAAGGTGGGTCATGGGATAATCATTTGTCGTTGATTGAGTTTACATACAACAACAGTTATCATTCTAGTACTGGAATGACACCGTATGAGGCATTGTATGGTAGAAGATGTAGGACTCCTTTGTGTTGGTATGAATCAGGCGAGAGTGTTGTACTTGGACATGAGATTGTGCAAGAGACGACTGAAAATATCAAGATGATCCAAGAAAATATGAGAGCGTCGTAGAGTCGTCAGAAGAGCTACCATGATAAGAGAAGGAAAGCACTTGAGTTCCATGAAAGAGATCACGTGTTTTTGAGAGTTACGCCGGTAACTGGTGTTGGCCGAGCTTTGAAGTCCAAAAAGCTCACACCGCATTTTGTTGGTCAATATCAGATTTCGCAGAGGGTAGGAGAAGTAACATATCAGATTGCTTTACCGCCGTCGCTTTAGAATTTGCATGATGTGTTTCATGTGTCTTAGTTGAGGAAGTACATTCCAGATCTGTCACATGTGATTCAGATGGATGATGTACAAGTGAGAGATAGTTTGACTGTTGAGGCATTTTCAGTTCTGATTGATGAACGAGAAGTGAAGCAATTGAGAGGTAAAGAGATTTCCTTGGTAAAGGTAGTTTGGGGAGGACCAGCTGGAGGGAGTATGACGTGGGAGCATGAGGATCAGATGAGGGAGTTGTATCTGACTCTATTTCCTTGAGGTAAATTTTTAGGGCGAAAATTCTTTTAAGTGGGGGAGAGTTGTAACACCCCAAATTCTTGGAATATTTATTTAATTTATTTAAATATGAATATTCGCATTTTTGGTGATTTTCGGTGGTTGGTATGAAATATTATGAATTATGAATTTTGAGTTATTTATTTAAATAATAGTATATAATATGAATATATTGGTATTATTATTAATTTAAATAAATATAAGTGAATTAAGGGCAAAATGGACATTTGAGGAGGAGTTAGTGAGGGTGAAGTTGGAAATCCCAATTTTAAGGCCCAAAGTTAGGTTTAACAAAAAGGAATTTTGAGGGAATTAGGATTCATTCTTGTTAGATCGTGAAAAGGGAAGAAATAGAGGCCAGAGCTCTGAGGAAGAGGATTGAGGCAAAAGTTTCGAAAGGTTTCCAAGAATTAAAGAGAAAGGCTTAGAGTCGACAATTAAGTTATGGGGAGTATTGCCTTCATTGTTTTCAATATGTGATTCAATGTGTTTAAAGTTGGTTTAAGGGTTTAGACATTTTTGAATATTGATTTGTTGTTGCCTTCTGATGGTGAGTTCAATGAGTTTGAGGGATTTGAACTGATGGGCTGATAGGTTTAAGGTTGATTTGGGTTTGAGGGAAAGTAGGCCTTCGTGGCCAAAATCTGTTGTTGAGGTTTTAACCGTATAGGGATTTGAACTGAAGGTCTGATAGGTTTGAGGCTGATTTGGGAGTAAAGAAAATTAGGCCTTCGTGGCCAAAATCTGTTGTTGAGATTGTTTAACCCTGTAGGGTAAGTGACTTGTGAGACCTTCAATGATTGTGGTGTAGTTGTAAGGATTTATGGGAATTTGAGGCGTAAATATGATACGGGATTGGCCTAATAAGTCGTAGATTTTGTGTCTTTATTGCCGTAATACCTTATGAATGATTTAGGGATGTTTTAGGACATTAGGGAAGGAAATCGTAGAGGTTTTTGGTCTAGATTTGGTGCTGGTGTGTAACAGCGATTTGCTGTAATCGCGAGTTCGCACAGCGAAGAATGCTTCGCACGGCGAACATTCGCCTCAGACTCGCACTGCGAATTTGCTAGAGAATGTAGCAGAGTTTCGCAACTTGTTTTCTGGTTCAATGTCGTTTTGATGTTTTGATGTTATGACTTGTTTGCATATCCGTTTATTAATGGATCATATCTTTGTTCCGTTAATATTTCTCTCCCTAAAATCATTTAAACTCAACCCTATATAGTCGGCTTTACTTGTCATCCTTTATCTTTTTCTCGTAAGATCATTTACGATTAATTGAATTCCTCAATATATGTTTACTCAAATTTGATAAAGTTTTCAAAAGGTTATTTTTTTATTTTTGCTTGTTTTTGTGAGGTGGCCAATATAGTCTCAAAAAGGTTATTTTGGCTTGTCTATTAGAGGTGGAATTTAGACATCTTCACTTTGTTTATTGATGAACTTAATATTGTCATGATTTTCATTTTGATAACTCATAATAGAGGTTGGAGGTTTATTTCAATATAATGTAAATTTATTTTGATTGTCTAAGCTTTTTCCAATCATTTACTTGTTCTTTAGAAGCTACAAAACGTGCATACCCTTTAACTATTCAAAATAAGAACCAATGAAAACCAATCACTTAATTAACAAACAAATTTGGGACAAACACATGATAATATATAGATTAATTCTAATTATACTCATCACCACCTTCCACCTAATAAGTAGTATGAGTTTTGATTAATTCCTCTATTTTCTTCTTCTCACTTCACTACCAATCATGAACATGTTTGTACTAAACACACAACATTCATTTTCACTTTTTCTCCTTCTTGTATCTATGGCACTATTTTCATATTCAATTCAATCCATGAGATTTGATTTACCATATATTAAAGGAAACAATGTAAGATGTTTCTCTGAAGAAATAAAGAAGAATGCAATGGTAGTTGGAAACTACTCCATTGTGAATCCCAATGGAGCTCTTCCTTTGCCCTCTAACCACACTATCACTGTTCAAGTGTCTACACATGGAGGTATGGCTAAATATCATCTTGCAGAGAGGGTTCAAGCAGGGAAGTTTTCATTCATGGCCTATCAAAGTGGTGATTATTTAATATGTTTTGTGGATACAACTAAAGATCCTCAAGTTACACTCTCTATTGATTTTGAGTTTAGAGTTGGAGTCGAAGCCGTAGATCGGTTCAATATTGCAAAGAAAAGTCACGTTGATGTAAGTTTCTCAATTATTTTACTAAAGTCTATTGTTGGATATTTTTGCAAAATTATCGACTGAACTACTTTAACAGAATAAATAATTAATATTTTTTTTATCTGCATATATGGAATTTGAATCTTCTCTTATTTTTTATCGCATATTTCAGCTATGTTTTAATACTAACTATTAATCATTTACGTTCGATATTGAAAAAAAAGTCACGTTGAAGAGAAAATCCAAATCCATATGTGTCTATTAATTTTCATTAAAGTGAAAAAATAAAAATATTACATTAATTGATTTGATTTTTCTATTTATGTGATAGAGAATGGCACAAGAATTACAAATTATGTATGAGATGGCCTTGTCTATTAAGGAGGAGATGACTTATCTTCTTGAACGGTATGCAAAAATTTATTTTTTGATTTTTAATTAAAATTTTAAATATATAATGTTTTTTTTAATTTACTTTTTTTTTTCTTTGCAGAAATACAGAAATGTTAGATCTCAACTATATAACTGACAATAGGATGTTTTGGTTGATATTTGTATCATTTACTGTGTGTTTCACAGTAGCAGGGTTACAATTATGGCATTTGAAGACTTTTTTCCATAAAAATAAACTCATATAATTGTTTTTTATTCTTTAATTATACAACTTAAGTTTGTCATGTGCTAAGTAAAATAACCTTGTGTCAATTTACGTAAAGCACATAATGAAATAACTTGTATGAGATTATCCCATATGGAGAAATAGTTTCATGTTGTTGATTCGCTTTGCATTGGATTTACCTCTTATTTGATCCCTCAAATTCAACTAAATTAATTAAGGTATAATTTGAATATCCAAACGTCTCAAAATAAAAAATAAATCAACAAATAACAACTTATATGCTATTGTAATTGTTTTTTTTTTTTTTTTGGTTAATGGTGATCGTGATTATGCTCTTTCCATTTTTTTTATCTCAAATCAAAATACCTTAACTCTCATACAAAGAGAAATGGTTAACCTCTTACAAAACTAATCAAAAAAAGTTGTGACATGGGAAATATGACAAAGGAGATGTTGTTCATTCTGAGGTGGATAAAGGTCTTTAAAAGAGGGCTACAAAAAAGTACGTTTAGGTCCATAGGAAGCCTTTATTGGATTGTGGGAGTAAACAGATCGAATTTAATGGTTTGAATTCTCAAGGGGTGGGGTGAAAGAGGTTGACAAGGAAACCCCACTAGGGACGGTTGTTGAAGGGGGCTGACCTCTGGGAAACCCTAAGGATCATGGTTAGTCTAGCCATGTTCAAAAACAAATGCACTCCATTGTGGTGGTTGAGCCTAATCCTCAGATTAATATGAGGGATGAGGTAGAGGTTCATCAACCAGTGGTTATGGTGGAGCACCATATACAGAATACTAATGAGGATGCTTCTTTTATTGGTGACACCCAATTTGAGATGGTTGTTCCGGAAACTAATCATGGTTTACTTCAGCGGGATTTGTATTTTCTAAATACTTCCTAGATAAATATGGTTCACCTTGATTCTGCGCGACAAGGTATTGTTGTCGCTACTGCGAAAATCGAGGCCGACAATGACAGAACAGTCGCCACCGTGCGTTATTTATCCCAAGAGAGAGAAAGGAAATGCTCAGAGAAAACCTAACGAAAAGAGGGATAAGATCGGTCATCGCAACCAAGTCTTGGGTTCGGGAGTCGATTACGCAAGGGGAAGGTGTTAGCACCCCTCACGTCTGTCGTACTCGATGAGATCCACGCTTGTTGTCTATCTAAAAGGGTGATTGAAACTATCTAGCTAAAGGCTCAAGGACAAAAGAAAAAAGAAGTGACTCGGCAAAGCAACGACGCTTTGTGCCTACGTATCTCATCTAAAATGAGAAGTCAGAGTCAACGTAGTTCGGCTAACTACGGGTGACAAGGGGGAAGGTTGCTCACCAAGACATCGCGTCTTGTGCCTATGTACTTTCATCTGGTATGAAAGATCAGAGCAAACATAGTTCGGGCTAAAAGGAAACACATGTTTGTTCAACTGTTTTACCCGAGTAGGGTTAACAATTGGTTCCAGTAGTTTGGTGTATGCAGTTCGACCATTGGAGACTTAGGCGTTACCGTTTGCGATAGAACCAAGAGTTAATAAAACTCTCCTTGTGAAAATGATTTTCCAAGATTAAAGGCCCCAAAGGGGAAAAAGAAGTTTGAATGATTTGTTTTTGTGTTTTTTAGAGAAGAAGTGTTTTTTGAGTTGTTTGCAATTCATATCGCACTAGAGACTATGACTTAGGAATGAATGTGTCGCATATCACCCAAAGGGTGCTATACTAAACATCCAAGTCATTGAAGAGAAACTCCTCAACAACCATTTCCCAAATTCTTAAGGCTCGTAACGCACAATAATCATTAACTTTTATTAGGTGTTTTATGTTTGTTTTGAGATGAGATGAGAAAAGGACACTAAAGGGGGACTAAACTCAAACCTAAAGTTGTCATACAATGGTGATCCTAAGATTGAGATAAGGGAATGCTACCTAATGTTATCATACATGGTTAAAATCCTAATGTCTATCATAACCTCCCTTGAACAAGAGAGATTAGAGATCCTAAGGGAAAAGAGACAAAAGAGGGAAAAAAGGAAGCAACATAAGCATGCAAGAATGCAAACATGGAATGCAAGTGAGGGAGGAAATTGGTGTGGGGAAGTAGCCTCCACAATCTTATCTCAACCTCAAGCAACAATATGATAAATGCAAGAGATGAAAAGAAAAAGAAATGCATCAAAAGAAACACACAAGTGCACTAAAATGGGATGAAATGACCTAAACCATTCAAACATCAACCACAATGCCAAAACCCAAACGCAAATGAAAGGCAAAGAAGGCCTAAAACAAAGTGAGGATGGGAGGCTATATGAGGACAGCAAGGAACTCATAATGTGCACTCAACCATGAGCATCATAAGAAAGGTGCAAAAGAAAGAACAAAGAAGTCCTCATGGATTCATCATTTTAGGCATGCTTCAAATACCTCCAAAGGAGGGACCAAGCCACCTTAATTGAGATCCCAAAGTCATTGGACAGCAAGGGACATGAAATAAAAGTGCTCAAAAGCAAAAGCAAATAAAACGCAAAGAAATGCAAGCAAATTCCCAAAGGAAAAGCAAGCATGTTTCACATAGAAACCCTAATTGGGAACTCAAAAGTAAACAACCAAATGAACAAGTAATACACAATGTAATGACCTAAAAATGGGCAAGCATCATCCTTAACATGTTAGAAACATGAATCAAAAGGCATTGAAGGATCCATAAATGTCATATCCAAAGCAAACTAGGTCAATGTGTTTGTATGAACCTCCCTTTAGAGTAACTTGACTTGCAAGTTACTCTAAAATTAGGAAAATGATTCAAAAATAGCCAAATAAAATGCAAAAGGCACATAAACATGTTGGTAACCAGAGGCCAAGAGATTACAATCAAAGTCACTTCACAACATCACCATAGAAATTGATTCACAAGGGTGTTACATTGTGAAGGAGGATTATCGAGGGTCAAATGAAATGCTATCAAAACCAAACCAAAACTCAACAAAATAGGGCCAAATGGTCCTCAAAAATCAATCAACTCATCATTGATATGAGGATTGATTTTTACTCATTAGATCCAAAGGAAATGAGACAAATAAAATAAAAACCAAACAATGTCAAGAATCAGGTCAAATAAAACACTTCCAATGTTAAATTCCATTTTTAGACATCTCAAGAAGTCTAAAACATATTTTTGTGAAATTTTAACACTCTTGGAAGTATTTTAAAATGATTTAAATTTAAACAGATATAAAATAAAAACAAAAAAGAAATAAAAAAAAAGGCTGGGTGCGAATAGCAGCCCAGTTTAGTTCAAAAACAAACAGGCCAGCGCGCAGGGGGTGCCAACAGCAAGCCCAGTCCATCAGCAAAAAAAAACAAAAAAGGGTGAGTGCTTGGTGATTGTGTGTGATACGGTCAACAGAGGCTCATGGTGGAACACAACCAAACACACTGGATCAAAGGTATGTGCATCAAGTGGATCAGAGCGCGCCATGTCATTTAATGAAATTCAATTATGATCTGATGAAACAAGTCAAACGACGTACACGGTACGTCTTAATCAAGGTCATGGAAATGAAAAGTAAATGGATCAAACGATCTACAGCATGCCACATCATAATCTTCAACATTTAAACACAAAACAAAACAGACGGCGGCCGGAAACCATCTCCGGTCATCTTCTCCGGCTGTATCTCCATCGTGAACAGTAACAGAAACACACAGGTACCAAACGTTCACCAAAATAAACAAATTAATAATCAAATCTCATCTACACATCACGTAGAGTTCAAATCCAACAATATTTAGGCTTAACAGCTCATGACAAAGCCAAATCGAACCAAACAAGTTTCAAGCTCACATCATGAAAGTTCACAAACAAGCACAACTATGAACCAGAAATCATCTACACATCAAGAGGTTCACAAATATATAAAAATGGCGTGTAAACAATGCTTAAATAGAGAGAAAAAAGGAATGAAAAGAAACCTAAAGAAAAGCTTCCACAGAGCTCAGTTCTTTGGTAAAGCTTAAAAGAAACCACCCAGAAACGTTCTATGAATCTCAAGGAACCTTTTTAAATGTTTGGTTTGGATTGAAACTCACTGAAATGCAAAAAACGATTTTTAACTTTTCTCTCACTTTGTCTCAATGTGTTCTTGAGTAATTTCACACCAAAATCAATTCTGAAAGCTTGTGTCCAATCCTGAGAATAAGTATGATGGATTTGGATTGAAAGAAAGCCCAATTCTATTCTCCTTAAGCCCAATTGAATTTCAAATTTTCTCTTCATGGAAGCTTCCAAAAGTACACGAAAATGCAGCTGCAAGGCTGTCAAGATGGCTCAGCTAGCCTACACCTGATGTGAATTGATCCAAGGGCTCAAAATGGCTCCTCAATTTAATCCCATGGCATGCTTTGTATATGTTACTTAAACTTGAAGTAAGCATGAAAATGGCCATCAAATTGAGCTCAAATTCCAAATCCAAAAATGGAATTGTGCTTGAAATGTATGGCACTCAAAAAATGCATAAGGTTGGTACAAAATGATCCCAAATGAATTTAATTTGATTTTCCCCTTTTAAGGCCTTTTTCATGGAAATTTCTTTAGGGATTCTTCAATCCAAGCCAAAACTTTGATGCCTTGATGTTTGATTGATAAAATGATTCTATTTGGAGCAAGTTTGAAGTTGGAAAGATTTCCATTTGAAGTGTGCAAAGTGGTAAAATAGACCTATAATGAAAATGACCTGTAATCCTACTTTCCCAAAATACCCCTGCCTTCAAGCCTCATAACTTGAGTTCTACAAATCAGATGAAAGACTTCTAGTACTCTTTGGAAATCTAAGATCATGAGGAACAACTTTCATGTTCATCAAAAGTTGAGGAGAAACATCCTTCTAGGTCAAAAGTGGCTTGGAAGTTGGTTGACTTTTGTTGACCAAAATCACATTCATCTGAGGACCTGTAACTTGCCAGCATCATAAATTGAATTCTAGAAATTAGATGAATGACTTATAGTGCTCAAGAGAAATCTAGAAAC